ATAAAAGGATGAAACTTCTATTAATTTTTGAAAATTAAGCATGGAGCAGTTCCATTGTTACCAACACATCCACAAAATAAAAACAACAAAAATAGAAGTACCAGTCATAAACAACATCAGAACTAAAACAAAGGACAAACAGTAGGATTTGATACTGGAAAGGGAACACGTTCTAGGGAGCACTGGAGAGGGAAGACTTAGATGAAGAGGCAAGGGTTTTAAGAAGGATGTTCATGCGAGCATTAGCTGACATCTGCTCATTGAGTAGTTTCTCCTTCAGATCCTCAACCTGTTTCCTGAGGTCGGCATTTTCTTTGGTCAGAAGGACAACCTCTATGTTGTGAGAGCTGCGGGAACCAGGTTCCTTCTGAAGCTGACTTTACTGACCTCAAGAATGGCATTCCTTGCCTTTAGCTTCCTTATCTCATCAGTGGCACTGTTTTGGGCGTTGATCAACTGGGAGATAGTAGAAGTGCTACCAACCCCTCCAACCTTATCAATGCACTCACATTCCTTGAGGGTGGTCTTGGAGAAGGTTTGCTTACGAGTACCCACTTTGGATTTTCCCAAAGGGACTTTGAAGAACTCAAAAACTTTAGTGAAGGGGAGCCCGTAAGGCAGCCCATGATTACCATCCTTGAACTCTGCCACCTTCTGCATGTGTTCTATCATGATGCCAGGCAGGTTGATAGTTGTGTATTCATCTAGTACTTCCATGAGAATCACGTCTGCCCGAGATGTAATGGATCTTCATTCTGCACGAGGGAGCAATTCCTTGTTCACCAATTCAAATAGCAGTTGGTACAATGGAAAGGAGGGCCTTCTTGTGTACCCGTTCCCCTTGCTGGACTGCCTTATCCTTCAAGATAGCATTTCTAAAGTTCGAAGAGCAGGTTCCGTGAACAGAAGACAAACCCTCAGCAATCACTCCCAAGATAGTTCCCAGCACAGTAGAGTACATTACAAGATCAACACCATTCACCATCACACAAATATGATCATCCTTAACTGTAAAGATGTCGGCATAAAGACTGCGCACTTCGTCCTCATAAACTTTGGGACAGTCACCTATGAACAGGTGTGTCCACTGTTGGAATTCACAGATCTCCACCAATTGGCGTATGCCAGCCATATCCAGAATATCAGGGGCAAATGTACGGCCCCACAACACCTTTTGATATTTCAATTTTTCCTTGCTAGCATCCTGGGTATTATCAATCTTGGTCTTTTTGAAGGAACCAGGTTCCTCACTAGCATCACCCTTCATTTTTACTGATGTGCGAGCACTCTTTCCTTTCTTAGCAGATTTCCCAGACACCTTTTTCGCAGACACTTTTTCAACTGATTCTTCTGTCACTTGTTCCCCAGATTCCTCAACTACCTTTTCACAAGATCTTTCATCCTCAACCTTTCTCAAGTCCATTTCACTCACATATGACTCCCTTCTGGACTTTGGAACAATAGGTTTCTTATGAGGACTTACGAACCAAGGAACCAGGTTCCTCTTCTACCTCATCATCAACATCAACGACTAGTGTAGGAGGCACTACCTTCTCATTTACAACCTTTCCATCTTTCACCAATCTCCTCTTCTTCTTTTCCTTTTTGCTTTTCCTTAAAACTGACTCAAATTCTTCCTTCTTCTGCAACCTAGTGATAGGTCTCTTCGAAGTTGACTCTTGGGGAGTTTCCTGACTACTCCTAGTCCTGATGAAGCTCGCAAGAGCCATATTATCATAGTCATCTTCACTCCCTTCGTTTTCCTCCTCAGACAGAGATCGCATCTCGGGAGAAACAATGGCCAATGGCTCAGCATAGAAATAAGGAGAGGGAGCGAGATCAGTACTTACCTGGGGTTCTTTAGAAGAACGGGGAGTTTCATCCCAAGTAGGAGTATAGTGCTCCTCTTGTGTAGAGGGATCAGGCCCCTCAGGGAGTTCCCTAGTAGTACTGTCTGGTGCCAGATTTTTGACATGCACCAGTTTCCTTCCCTCGGCCTCTGTACCATTATCTTCCCCCTGTAGGATCCAAGACCGGGGCTTCCACTGTCGATTCATCACTGGTATGACCCACACCTTGTTCTTTAGCAGAACTTTTTTCCACTGGTAGAGTAAAAATTTATTGATTTTCTTCTTCATCCACTGTGTCTTCGTCAACCATCTTTTCCGGTGAGGCAGAAGTAGAGGTCACAATCACAAATTTCCTGGGAGTCGATGTTTTGCGACTCCGATGAGAACCAGAACTTGACTGGGTTTGAGAGGAAGCAGAGGGTGGTTGTGACTCTAGCTTAGGGTTTGGACTAGTCGGAACAGGGAGTGTGAGCTCTATCATTGGTGTTTCAATGAATGAGGACACAGTGGAGATAATGCTTGGAACATTTTGTGTTTCCTGATTGTCAGACATGATGGAGTGTAGTTAGTTGAAGAAGAGAGTTTGAAAAAGGAAAAAAAAGGAATTTTGGATTCGTGATATGAACAATTCTGAAAGTGACTGTGAATGGATTTATTTGAGAGGAGTTAGAGACCGATTGAATGTCAATTTTGGGTAGTCGGGTCGCTTCATAAAGGGTGAGACACTTTGATTCAAGAAGCAAAAAGAAACTGATAATATAATGACGTGGCACCGTTTCAGCCGTTTAAAAATTGTGCATTAGAGTACAAAAGAGCTACTAACATGTGTCAAAGGAACCAGGTTCCCTGGCAGAGTTTGAAAATGTAAGCCTCATCCTTTGACCAACGTACAATGCATTAACTACTTATCTACTCTGTAATCGTCATGCTTGTCTACCTGTAACGGTATAGAGGTGAGTTAGACTTTGCCAGAAAACACTTTTTAGCTATTTTACCTATACATTTATTTCATAGCCAATCATCGAGGGACCAGGTCCCTAGCTAGACTTCATCAACCCTAGTGCCAAGCGATTCTTTTTAAAGTGCTCTCTGCTTAGTGCTTTGGTGAAAATATCTGCAATTTGATCTTCTGTGCTGCAAAACTTCATGCAGATGAGCCCTTTCTCAACATTGTCTCGAAATTTTCTAGGTGCTGCTTGATCTACAGTAGTTTAGCACAGCAAGAGGCAACCGCCACATACTCAGCTTCAGAAGTGCTTTTCCTATCCACCAGATAACTAACATAGTCAGCATCAACATACCCTATTAAGTCAAAGTTATCTTATGAGGAATAGTAGAGAACCAGGTCCTGCGTTCCTTTGAGATACCTCAAAATTCTCTTTGCAACCTTTAGATAAGACTCCTTTGGATTGGATTGAAACATGGCACAGAGTCCCACAAAGAAAACAATGTCTGGTCTACTTGCTGTGAGATATAGAAGTGACCCAATAATGCCTCTATACATAGTCTCGTTTACAGGAGAACCGGGTTCCTCCATATCTAGGCGAGTGGCAGTGGCAATAGGTGTATCAATGATCTTTTAACTCTCCATCTCAAATCTCTTCAGAAGCTCTTTGATATACTTCTGCTGACTTATCATTGTGCCCTTAGAAGTTTGCTTGACTTGCAAACCTAAGAAGAAATTCAATTCTTCCATCATGCTCATTCCAAACTCGCTTCCCATAAGCGTTGCAAACTCTTCACACAGAGAATCATTTGTTGCACTAAAGATGATGTAGTCAACATAAACTTGGACAACCTTTCATGCCATGCACGAGGAGCCTGCTTCAGTCCATATAATGCCTTGTCAAGTTTAAACACGTGCTCGGAATGCTCATGGCACTTGAAACCAGGTGGTTGCTTGACGAAGACTTCTTCTTTTAGAAAGCCATTCAGAAAAGCACTTTTGACATCCATTTGGAACAATTTGAATTCCATATGAGATGCAAAGGCAATAAGAATTCTGATGGCCTCCATTCGAGCAACTGGAGCAAAAGTTTCATCATAGTCAATCCTTTCTTCCTGATTATAGCCCTAAACTACTAGCCTTCCATTGTTCCTTGTTGTGTTTCCAAACTCATCAAGTTTATTTCTGAATACCCTCCTGGTTCCTATAACAGTTCTGTCAGCAGGTCGTGGAACCAGGTGCCATATACTGTTCCTCTCAAATTGATGGAGTTCTTCTTGCATAGCTGTAATCCAATCGGCATCTTTTAATGCTTCTTTGATATTCTTGGGCTCAATTTGAGAGAGAAAAGCTGAGAAGAAAAGCGCGTTTGTTGCCTTTGATCTGGTTTGAATTCCTAAATCAAGAGGAGTGATCACATTTTCAAGAGGATGTGAACTTTTGTATTTTCAGTTAGACACCCGAATCTTGTTGTGGGATGGTCCAGGTATTTCTGAATGTGATTCTCTCTCTGCATGTGGGGTCCCTTGATCTACATCAGCAACTCTATTTTCAACTTCAGTTGTTGTGATTGAGGAACCAAGTTCCTCTATGTCAGCTGGAGATTCATTTGTGCCATTGTCATTTGAATCCTTGACCTGACTCATCATGTCAGTTTTTCCATTTGCCATGTCAATGACTTCACTAGGGATAATTGACTATTCTCCTTCTTGATTAATCTTATCATGTGAATCCTTCCCACATGAGTGGTGAGATTCATCAAAGATCACATATATACTTTCCTCAACACATTGCATCGCACACTTTATGATCCTTGAAGCTTGAGTTGGGCAGGCCACGAACCAGGTCCTTTTTGACCAACTTGTTCAGCAACGTGAAACTTGCATGACCCATCCTTCTGTGCCATAGTTCAGCATCATCATCAACAACACTTAGACAGCTGAGATCACCACTCTTGTTTCCCTTGTCACAGATTTGGGAGACACTTAACAGGTTGTACTTCAATCCATTCACGTAGTACACATTTTCAATTGAGTGAGAAAGAGACTTCCCAATTCTTCCAATTCCCAAAATGTATCCTTTTTTGCCATTTTCAAAGGATACACTCCCTCCTTGCAGGGATTTGAGTGAAAGGAAATTATTTATGCTTCTAGTCATGTGCTTCGAGCAACTACTATCCATTTATCATTATTGGCTGCTCCCTTTCACTGCTCCCTGCACAAGGAAATCAAAGGTTAGACTTAGGAACCCAAACAAGTTTGGGTCCCTTGTAATGAGAAAAGGGATGAATCAGGACCTTCTTGGTCCAAACAGGCATCACACGAGTTTTATATAAGGGACCAGGTTCTCTAACAATAGTTACCTTTTTAGCAAAAAGTTTGTTTTTCTGTTGAGACTGAAACTTGGCCTTACAGGTTTCCTTAAAGTGCCAGTGTTGCCACAGTGAGTGCAAAGCCAGTTATCAGGTACAGTAACATAATTGCTATGAGGGTTGTAAGGAGTCTTTTCCCTTTGGAACCCTATCCCTTGCCTGTTTCCCCCATTGTTTTTATACAAGGCAGTGATAGCATCAGAGGACCAGGTCCACTTGAGTGATTTTTCTAGATCATTCTTAACTCTGCCTAGATCTTCCTGAAGCTGTCTGTTTCTCTCAAGTTCCACACATAGACTAGATTTCACTGATTTTATCTCATCTTCAAGCCTAAGATGTGCCTCACTTGCAACTTCCTTTACCTTTTGGGTAATCTCATACCTACCTTCCCTTTTTAGTTCCTTAATTATTTTCTTTAGGTCCACGAATACTACTAATAGGTCATCTCTCTCATGCTCTATTTTTGCAATTCTCTCGGTCAAAGTATCTTTTTCCCTTTTTAGACTCTCAATGGTCTCTCTTTGATCAACCATAACTACCACTAGATCATCTCTCTCGTGTTCTATTTCTCCTAGTTCCGTGGTTAGCATATTTTTATCATTAATGAGACTGTGATAAGCATCAATTAAACCATTAGCCAAAGATATAAGCTTCTTTTGAGAATATGATTTCAAATTTCTTTGAATATCTAGAAAGTTTACCTCATCTTCATCGTCATCTTCATCATCATCAGATTGTGCCATCAGGGCAAAGATAGAGTCATATTCAGTTGCTTCAGTTTCTACTGCCATCATGGAGATGTCACCTTTATCATCATCTTCACTAGATTCACTTGAGGAGTCTCCCCATACAGCAAGAGCTTGTTTCACAACATTGTCGGCAACATCATTTTTTTGAATCGTTTGTCAGGAACCTGGTTCCTCTTAGCTGCTTTGTCTGAGTTGTGTTTGTACTGATCTTGCTTGAAGATAGGACAATCTTTGATGAAGTGCCCTCACTTCCCACACTTATGACATAAGTCATAGCATCTTGGCTTGCTAGAGCTGTCCTTCTTTGGAATACCTCTATTTTTGCAGACCATCTTCTGAAATCTCTTTGTCAAGTAAGCCATATCAGCATCCTCACCACTTGATTCATTGTTGTCTGTCTTGAGGACCAGGTTCTTCTCTCTTTTGGGCTCTCTTCTTTCATTTTCCTTATTTTTCTTCATTTCATACATTTTCAGATTGCCAACAAGTTCATCAATGGTCAGCTTCTGCAAGTCTTTTGCCTCTTTGATAGCGTTCACTTTGCTTTCCCAGGAACTAGGCAGTACACTAAGTATTTTTCTGACAAGTTTGTTTCTTGGAATAATTTCTCCGAGAGAGTGAAACTCATTGATAATAGATGTGAACCGAGTATGCATGTCCTGGATAGATTCATCATCTTTTATTCTGAAAAGCTCATATTCTGTGGTAAGAATGTCAATCTTTGATTTCTTAACTTGTGTTGTTCCCTCATGGGCTGTTTGAAGAGCCTCCCAGATCTCCTTAGCAGATTGGCATGCTGAGATCCTGTTGTATTCATCAGGACCGATACCACAGACAAGAATTTTCTTTGCACGAAAGTTCTTTTCTATGGCCTTGCGGTCAGCATCATTGAACTCCTTTCTTGTTTTGGGGATTGTTACAGCTGGGTCGCCAATGGTTTTTGTGGGGATGAAGGGTCCATCGCAGATGACATCCCAGAGCTCTGAGTCTTCAGCCATGATAAAGTCGTGCATCCTAGTTTTCCACCATCCATAGTATTGACCATTAAATCTTGGTGGCCTGTAGGTAGATTGACATTCTTCGAAGTTTGGTGAAGCAGCCTTGAGGATCCTTTTTAGGTGTTAGCCTGATAGAAAGAACCTGCTTTGATACCAATTGATAGGATTTAAGGGTCCACCAAACTATATAGAGAATCAGATTCTCTATTAGTTCCCACAGAACACACGCACACTACAGTAGGTAAATGAGACAAAGAAGTTTTACGTGAAAAACTCCCAGCTCAAGGGATTAAAAATTACGACCTACCCTTGTAGGATTTCAACTTCATTACTGAGCAAACTTTAGATTACAACCTATTGTAACCTAGGAATTAACCTCTTAATCACTCACTAACTTGTAACAACTCTATTACAAGCCACTTGTAATAACTCTATTATAAAGATTTTACAACTCGATTAACTCTAGCCAAGACACAAACACAAGGGTTTATGATTTACAAAGATTTCCTATACAATGATTCTAACTAAGCTAAGTAGGAATTACAAATAAAGAACTTTAACAAAGGTGCACCACAACTAAGGACATGTAATGACTCAATACATGAAACTGGTCCTTCGTTATATTGTTCTTTGTTTTTGATGCCCTTGAGAATCACTTGCAAGATTGGCACAGACTTGAGAGAAAATGCTTCATAAATTCTTGAATGTGCAAATATTTTGTTTTACCTTTGCTTGATGTAAATAACTTATTTGTGACATCACCTGAATGATGTAAGCAAGTTAGGTAAAGGACATTCCCCATAAAGTTGACTGCTGCACTGTTGCATGTGCAGGTATCAACTTTACAGCTGTGGGGAGTTGACTTGTACAGTCACCAACGGGAACTGATGGCCATAGGTTCCCTCTGTTGTTCCTTTGACTCTGAAGAGTTGAACCACGTCCCCGAACTGAAACTTGCTGTTCTTTAAGTACTTGAGCATGTGTAACAGGTTCCTTATCTGGTTCTTATCAATAAGTTTATTAGATCATCAAAATATAATAGGGATACGTATAACCTATCAATTCTTTAAGGGGTCGTTTGTCTTTCAAAGTGGGATATCCCGGTATTAACAATCAAGATTATAATTTTGGGATTGTTATCCCCCTCCAATATAGGATATAATAGTTAATACCTCCTTCTTGATGTAAAGTTTGTTTTGATATTAGGTTAATTCCCATACTAAACATGAAATTAAATATTAGTTGAAATACACTCCAGGGTTTATAATCTTATTCTCGGTGACCAAACCATCCCTAAAGGTAATAAAAAAGCAAAATTTAGTAAGCCGACCAGAGAGATTTAGCAAAATTCTGTTTATCCTAAGAGATTTATCTTTTAACGATTGAATATGCTGAGGCAGACCATAGTAAATGTGCGTAATATTATAGTCACTGATGATAATATTGATGAGATTTCAAGATTGACGGCTTACTTGAGCAGCACCTTCGACAAAAACTTGGCACACTAATAGCCTCTTTGGCCAAGCCGGAGAAAACAACTTATTTTGAGAAGTGCTTTTTTCGAAAGTGCTTTTGAAAAAAGTACTTTTGCAGAGAAGCGGTTTGTGTTTGGCTAATCACTTTGAAAAGCACTTTTTAGCAATAATTTATGTTTGGCCAAGTTTTTCAGAAAATGCTTTTAAGTATCAAATTACGAATAAGGACATGAATAGATTTGCTTAATAATTAATATTATAAGTAAATAAATAATCTTAAAAATTTATTGTTATAGGTAATAATTAAATCTTTTCATTTTATTTAAGTAAAATATGAAAACAAAATTTAAAAGTACTTAATTCTTTTAATATAAGTTAAATATATTAAAAATCATTCAACAAATATAAAAGCATTCACCCCTAAAGTCACTATATATTAGAAATCTATCCTAAAAATAATAAGAAATATTTATACATTAATATTCTAAGTATTAGGTTCAACGGTTATTTTGGTATATACTATATTTTGTTAAGGGTATTTTTGGTAAGAAGAAAAGTCAAAACTGCTTCTGCTTCTGCTTGTGGGAAGAAATTACTTTTTTCTGTTTCTCAGAAACTGTTTCTGCTTCTTCCCAAAATCACTTTTTTTCCCAAAAAAGCTTGGCCAAACATCTCAAGTTAGGGGAAAAAGTACTTTTGAGGAAAAAAAATATTTTTTCCCTCTTGAGAAGCTTGACTAAACAGGCTATAAGGTACTCACCGAGATTAACCGGCGAACGAAACTATAATCATAATTAAAGAGATAATCCTATTATTCTACCAACTAAAGTGAATAGGACAAAAATCATGGTTTCCACCTAAACCCTCCTAAATTCGAACAACAACAATAACATATCCAGAGTGTGATACCACAAGTTAGGTGTGGGATGTAGGGAAATGACAACAATATATATTGCAATAATATTTGTGAGCGAAAATATACGAATTGGCTTGAGTCGTGCTGGGCACTGTCCTAAGAAACTATTTCAGCAGCGTGAAATGTCTCCCTAGGATTAAATGGGCGTTTGGACATAAGAATTGTAAAATTCAGAAAAAAGTAAATTTTTTTTCAAATGAAAACGATATTTGAAAACTAGAGTTGTGTTTGGACATGAATATAATTTTGGGTTATTTTTGAAGTTTTGTGAATGATTTGAATGAAAATTTTGAAAAACAGTTTTTTTGGAGTTTTTCAAATTTTCGAAAAATTTCAAAATCCATCTTCAAGTGAAAATTTAAAAATTTATGGCCAAACACTAATATCGAAAAAAAGTAAAATTTTTCTTATGTCCAAACGGGCTCTAAGAAACTATTTTATCAATGTAAAATGTCTCCCCAGGATTAAACAAACTTACCTCTATTTTATTTAGAGGATACAGGAATCAACATAATATAAAATTACAAATCTAGCTACTAGGAAAAAAAGGAAGAACAACTAGTGTGTAATGCTAATTAAATATTATAGAAAAGGAACTAGAAGGAAGAAGAGGGACGTATGAGAAGGATTTCTGATGATGAGAATGAATGGCTAATGGAGGCTATTTATAGCCATAAGTGCACGTAGATATGACAAAATAGTTAAAAGAAAATAGTTATTCACCCATATTATCCATTAAAAAATAGGCTGGATAATAAACTTTTTAAAATCGAGTCGAATATTGATAAGAACCATATTATCCATTTAGAACATGGTTAACCAAATGGATAACCAATGGATAACTAATGTGTTTAACTTTTACATTTGTAAAGCCTCAGATTGGGGGTTCCTCAAGTTTGGAAGACTAGGAATTCTCTCAAAAGTGATCATATTCAAGAAGCCATAGATAATATGGATATCCATATTATTCGCCGGATAACCCGTTTTTTATCCGTCTCAGATACGGATCGGGTAAGATAATTTATCTATTTTTAAAATTACATATTTTGACCCGCTCATATCTGACCCGACCCGTCCGTTTGCCACCCCTAAGTGCATGTTTCTATCCTTGGGAATGATTGCAACGTGTCTATCTTCATTTGCCACTTTTCCAAAGGAATGTGCCATTTATATGAAGGCTTAAAGGTTGGCTGCCACATTTTGGCAGTAAGACCACTTGTCTTTTACCTTTTCATGTAAAGATATTTGTCAAACAATTATATAAATTCTTTTAAAATACTACAATTTGGCTGACATGGGAAAGGTGGAATAATACACTGACTTTATCCCTATTTTTTATGGGGTAATAAAACTGTTTTCGATAAACTTTCGACTCAAAAAAAATTATTTTTCAAAATAGATTTAAAAAATATAAGAGCAACAAAAAACTATAATAAAAATACTGTACAACAAAAAAGTAACGACAACAAAAATTTTAAATCTAACCAACTTATATTGATAGGAGCAAAATGCACTAGTGGCGCTGTAGAAAAAGAAAATTAAAGAAGAAGAAAAGTTGATGGGCAAGAATGGATGAAGTTTTCTTACTTTTTGGTTCATTATTCTAGTTTTTAGTTTAAAGATGGACTCATCACTTGCAAAAAGAATTTTGAAGATCAGTGTATAATAACTTTATCTTATGAAAAGTGAGGTAGGGTTGGGAAAATTGTAGTAGTATATACATTACGATCCAAAAGAAAACTAAATAATTTCGCATTTTACTTTGAAGCCTTTAACTTTTGGACCAATAGCATTTTATGTTTTTTTTTTTTACTTTAAAAACCAAAAATAAAAAAAGAAGAGGATTTTTTAAAAAATCGAGGGAAGGCTGTGTGTTTTTCAGATAAGTGATAATATGCTAAAGTATTTAGTAATAATTATTTGAGTTCTTGGAATTGTTAATGGTGTTTGTCGTTATTTTGTTTGAAATCCATTTTCATAATAACGTATGCTAGAATTCAATTTCAAGAAACATAAATAGCTCATTATTTAACCCAATGACGGTTTGTATTCATACACATATATTGCAAGCAAATATGTTTACCCCATCATTTGGACATAAACTACACAAGCAACACAAACTATAAACTATTTTCTCTGCAGATTAGGAAGACCTCACAAATTTTCAGACTTACCCTATGTAGCAACAAATATTACCTCACTAAATAAGGGCAAGTTAAAGGGTAGTCCCTCCGCTCCACAATAAGTGACCATTTTACCTTTGGTACACCTATTAAAGAAATACGAACTCCTAAAAAAAAAAGATGTATTCACTAAATTAACCTTAATTAATTATTACCGTGACACATTGGAATATGTAAATATAGGCAAATTTTGGATAAATAAAATTAATTCCTTCTTGATTACGTAAATGGACATTTATTTTGGACTAAAACAAAAAAGGTAAAATAGTCACTTATTATGAATCGGAGGGAGTATAGTATTTAAAGAAATGCTTTTGAAGGCCCATCAACTGTAAAGTTACCTCCGTATGATCTACAAGTCACTGGTTCAAGCCGTGGAATCAGCTACTGATGCTTGCATTAGGGTAGGCTGTCTACTAAAGGGGTGTAGTCCTTCCCCGACTGCGTGAACGCAAGATGTTTTGTTTACCAGGCTTTTGAAGGCCCATCAACAGAAATACCATGAGACTAAAATGCATGCAAAAAGCCTGAAGATCCAGATGCCAGTAAAGATTTCAAATGATGTTGCTTGTATCACCATCAATTTCATAGTTTCAAGAATATGAAATTGTCTCAAGTACAATAACACTAAGGTAATCCAGTTGCAGAACTGAAAAATTAATCTGAAGCAAAAAAAGATAACACTAAGGTTCTTTGTGCCCTGTGGGAAAAACTGGGGCTATAAGAAAGCCACCTATGAGTAGTTCCATGCATGTCCTGTATTTTGGTTAAGATTAATTGGCATATAACACAAACGACAGATTTGCTTGCACTTCCAAGTGAAATGGATGATAAGAATCAGAGAAGCATTAATTTGTATGTTTATAAGCAGTAGCAGACTGGAAAGAATCATATCCACCCTCGGGTTCCCTCCTCTTCATAGGCATAGGCGGTTGCTGGTAAACTTTCCTTTGCTCTTCTGTACTTTGTATAGGAAAGAAGTGTGGGGCAATATTATCCTTCCTTAAACCATTCATCAAATAAACTTGTCCACTATTTACATCAAGTCTTGTTCGATTGTTAATAGCGCCACCTGGACGTTGACTGTGGATGAGATACGGACCCCCAGGAAAGGTTGACATATTGAGTACCTGAGGAAATGTGACCCCTTCATGTGTATCTCTTGCGCATGGGGCAATATATAAGGGACCATTGTTGGAGGGATAACTACTATGAGATGGTAACATCTGGACCGCGTATGGTAGCTTTGACTGTGGTGGCACCATGTTTTGCACTGTGTGCTGCATATTAGGTGTAGCCACTAAAAATGGCTGGCCCAAGTTCTTCACGTCTCTCCAGGTACCTAAGCTAACAAACTTGAGGTCTTGATCGTCTCTGGAAAAGACTGGACAAGCTGCAGATTCTATTACTCTCTTCTGAAATTGTGGATCTTCATTCAAATTCAGGGAAAATGAAGACAACTTTTCTGATTTCACAGGAAAAGAACTTTTCTCATCCGCATTATTGCCAAGCAAATTGAGGTCAAAGTTAAACATCTTTTCTGCTTGTTTTGAACTTTGATTTGAAGAATAACTTCTAAAAGTTGATGTAATCCTATTTTCACTTGGCAATTCGTCTTCTGAAGCAGCAGCAACATTAAGGTCAAACTCCATAATTCTTTTCGTGTCCCAATCTGAACTCTTGGATAAAGAAGCAGCAGGGCGAAAAGCACTGGTCGCAGCAGTACCCCTCCAGCCTAGCCTGCCTTCAAATTTCAATGAACTCACAGTCGTAGACAAGGGAGGTAAAGGAACTCCATATTTAGCTACTACTCGTATCACTATATTTTGACCATTTGATTGCTTCGCATCATCATCCAAATCATTTTGGTTGACGTCCTCATTCAAATCAAGCATATTGACTACTGAAGTCTGTCGCTGAGCTATTTCACACTTTGTGAGTGGACAAGCAGGTGATTTCAGGCCACCATTAAACTCGAGCTTTTTTGCAGGATCCCCCATCTCTTCAGATTCCAATGAGGACGATCTATTTTCTGATTGAAGATGCAGCAAAACTTCTTCTTCCCCCTTGGAATAGATATGACGTGAATGGCTTTCTTTGTTTGTTTCAGCTGAGCAGTTATGGTTACCAGAACAATCAACACCTCCACTAACCTTATCACGATGATTTTTCCGCAACTGATGACTGCATGCCGATAGACGTAAGGAATTTTGGTTCTTAATCATCCCCACCAATGCCTTAGTGTTAGCTTTAACATTACCGACAGAATTTTGTGCAGCCAAACCTGAAGCTTCACTGCTCGTCACTGGATCTTCCATACTAGAAATGAAACTAATCGGTGCAGAAGCACTTCCATTCTGTTGCATGAATGTTTTGGCTTCTGTTGATGTTTCCTGACTTGAGGAATTAACTTGATGAGTTACATCTGAGTTAGAACATGAAGACTCCGTTTGTGTAATGGAACTTAATCCATTTTCTCCAGAATTTAGGAGTGCTCTCCTGCCATCTCCTTCATTGTTGTCTCGTTCTACCTCTGAGCTGATATCACTCTTTGCAGATATGTTTTGCTGTTCTAAAAGATTACTAAATTGTTCCCTTGTACTGTTTGCAAAATCTTGTTTGGAAAAAGATGCTTCATTCTTTGGGCACTTTTTGCCAGGTAAGGAAATAATTTTATCACATCCATTCATTTTCACAACTTTTGATGCTTTATATTCCGACTATAAAGTTTACCCTTTTTGATTAGCTCAAAGGAAATTCCACTGTCAACAATGTTGGTTTCGATGTGGATACTCCTCGCAAGCACAATGTGCCCTCAGCAGAACTTTCAAAGACCAGAAATGAAAAGCTCAATCAAGTATTTGAGTTCAAAACTGCTATCTGATTGTTCACTGTAATCAATATTTCTACGAATAAAGCTTGCTGACATCTCACCATCTTCGGGAATTAATCCTAGAGGAGTCGAAGAATTCTATCGAGACAACAACACAGAGCCCATATAGCAGCTTGCTGGATTCAAATAACACAACTGTATTGCGTTGAAGCCTGCAAAACTAAGATGTGTGAGTGAAGTGGTGATTAAACGAGACAAAATATATAAATTTAAGATGCTGATGAGCAGAAGTTGACCCATAGCTCAAAATAGTAAACATCAAGAGCAAGTGAAAAAATTATTGTAAGTATTGGGACTCAATTTCTGACTGATATGACTATGATAATGCAGCTACCACAAATGTTAAAAACTCTAGAGGCATATTTTCCCAGAGGGTTGTCACGAAAATGTTAGAAACAAATTAAGGAAACCATCCTTATTGCAATTTATGAACAATAACAACAACAACAAATCCAGTGTAATCCCGCAGGTAGGGTCTGGGGAGGGTAGTATGTTTGCAGACGTTACTCCTACCTTGAGACAGTAGAGAGCCTGTTTTCGGTAGACCCCCGTCTACCCCGGCTCAGGAAAGATACTTCTAGATGCCCTTCTAGAAGTAGACATTCAACATTTTAAGGTGGCGAATAATTCACTAAGATGTGCAAAACGACTGCTGTCTCTAAAAAGCAAGATAAACAGTTCAGCATTTTAATCAGAACCATCTTTTCTTAACATAGTAACATATCATCAGAAAGATGAGGTGCTACCTTCAGCAATTTGGGCAGAACCAAACCTGATTTTACCCACACTCCTTGTCCTCCAAAACAAATGTTTGTAACTCAATCACCCCAAACATTTTACGATGTTCAGCAGCAAGAAAATGTTGAAAGATTGTTTCTCATTCCTCAACAACTGAATAGCCTAACAATTCAAGAGTATCAAAAAGGTGTGCCACAATGTCATCCCCTCCCTTACGTAATTCTTTACTCCTAAAAGTGGTGATAATTACAACAACAGACATGGACTATTCTTTCTGGACAAGTTTCAGTAGTGATAATCACAACAGACAGAGACCATGTGGTACATTTTTTAGATTCTTTATCAAGATTGGGTCCTAGAAATGATATAACAAAAGCACGGCAGCACTGCCATAAAAAATGAGACTTTTGATTGCACATTGCTAAGTGGTGAGAATCACGACAGACAGGACATCTTGTCACGTTGTCAAGAGTTCTATAGCAAGATTGACTACTAAAGTAGTGAAGCACGACCGTAATGTGCAATCAAGAATGTAGTTTGGAGTTTGGAACAAGTTGAATGGACAAGAAAACAAAATAACTGAATAAGAAAACTTTTTCATCACGAGGTATTTCCCCTTTTAACATTCTACAAAATATAACAAATAAGCACACTCCTATTGCACTCTTTTCGGTAAAGTACAATGAGTCGTAAATGAGCTGAACAAATTTGGTAGGTTTTCCCTTCAAACAACAGTCAAATTGAATTTATTTAAGCAATCAAAAGCAGATTCAAGCTGAAGAATTACAGAACACAATCACAAATAACTCAAGAGCTCATAAACACATTAACACAAACACATTGCAAAAGAATCCAAGTTGTCATTTATATAAGTTGTAATGCTTATCAGAAAACTTTGCCTTATTAGATAATTTAATATTATGTCACATGCTACCAGGAACTGAAAAAGGACAATGAAGAGAAAATGGTGAACCAATAAAGTCTCATCACCAAAGAAAACTTGTAACACTCCCAAAGTTTCAAGACAAGAACACCCATGTAATTAGAACAAATAACAGAGCTTAAAAATACATGCAAGGTAGATAAAAGAGAGCTGAGAGGGAATCAAACAGTAAATGTAACAGTAACAAGACAGATCTGAAAAAACAAACCACAACAGTAACAAAACAAACAACAACCTGTCCGACAATTAAATGGGGTATGGGGAGGTATTGTGTAAGCAGACCTTACCCCTAACTTATAGAGATCTGTTTCCAAAAGACAACCTGTCCACACAGACATAGCCAAGAAATTAAGCTCAAGAAATGAATGAAAAACACATCAAAACTCCATTTCACACCCTAATGAATATACACCAAACAAGGAGCATGTACAATAATATAGAACACAAAAAGACAGAGACAAACCTGAGATGAGCAAAGTGTGAATACCAGTGTGAAACTTAGATGTAAAGATTTCAACTTTTTAACAAGAACCCATTAAAGAAGAAGCCCAAAGAAGATGAATAACACAAAAGAGAGAAAAAACCCAAAAGCCTTTAGCTTTTACCCTTTTCCAACACTTTTACTCTCTCTCTCTCTCTCTCTCTCTCTCTCTCTTTCTTTCACTTTCTCTGCTAAGCTAAGAAAGCAAAAAGTCTAACCAACTAGTACTGAAACTTCAACCCCACCATTTCACCCAATCCTACCATAATATTCTACTACTCTACTATTCTATTCTATAAAAGAAATGAAAGAGACAGATTCAACACATTTGGCCCCCTCTCTTTTTGATGTTTACTTCACTACTACAAATTATACAAAGCAATTCAAGAAAATGCTTTTGTCCCTCCCTGTGACATTTGACACCCATGAAACATGAGAGACTGTGTCAGTGTCAGCTGTGGGGTCAAGGTCAGAGAGTATTGTGTTACCTGGGTCCCACTAAAAACTGCACCCACATTGTACGTTATGGGTCCCACTAGACAAAATGTCCTTTTTCGGGGGTCCCACGTAACGACTATACTACTACTACAAAGTATTTAATTGTATATATTTTACGAGGTAGATTTAACATTGTCAATGGTCGACTATAACGATGAAGGTTCCTCCTAGGTGACTAAGTTTTTTTTGGTCCTACATGCATACATACCCAAATTGTTACAGTAGAATTTATAGTAAGAATTTTGGGGCGGCAAACGGGCACATCAGGTCAGATATGGGACAAGTCGAAAATGGGTAATGAAAAAACGGACAAATTATCTGATTTGATATATATTTAATACGGACCAAATATGAGTTAATCGTCAGATAATATGGATCCATGATTTCTTGAATATGATTACTTTTGGAAGAATAAGAACCCCAATGTGTGTTTTTGTAAATGTAGAAGTTAAACTCATTGATCATTTATTTTTTAAGTGGATAATATGAATCTTATTTATAATTGACACATTTTTAAAATATTCATTATCCAACCCAATTTTAATGAGTAATATAGATGGATAATTAATTTTTTTAATTTATTTTACCACCACTACTCTGCACACTCCTTGTGTTAGATGAGAACTGAAAAGAACCTAAGCAAGTTGGCCACGTAATTGGCAATGTAATATATCAACTTATGTTACATCTGTCCCCTTAAAAGAAAAAGTAAGAAAAAGAAAGGCCCATAATATAATAAACATCATTTTGCTTTCATGTATTCTATTTCTGATAAGGCATAAATTTTTTAAAGTCGCCAAAATATTGGGTATATTGTTATTATTGTTGTTGATCGGATGACCGGATTGACTAGTCAGATTCGGGGCAAAGGTACATTATCCGAAGGGTAGTTAATTGATCATCTTTTGTCGAAAAATTATACTGTGTATATAAATATAATATTAGATTCTAGAGGTGTATAACATATACTGAACATCCTTTGTCAGAAAATAATTTTCACTGTTTTTAAATTTGAACACCTTTGCAGAAATTCTTGAATTTGTAAGATTGAACATAATCCATACGGGTATTTGAATTTGGGTGATATCATATATTCATAAATAATAATTTAGGATTGAAATTTAATTCTATGTCTAAAATTTTAAAAGAACCAAACTTAACCTAGTGTACGATAGATAGAATATATCAGTGATAATAAAACAAACTGACCAAAACAATTACAGTGTGTCATACTATTTACAGAAAATAATTTACTAAAGAGAATCTCAAGTACAGCATGAACCCCGCTAATACAGATTCCACCATTAAAAAAATTAAGAAAACCGCTAATCCCAGCTTATGGGTCTAATCATATACTACTATTCTTTTTACTAACAGATTAGCTATATAAAAAGTACGTAGATATTTATAACATTATTTGACTATTTATGGTACACATGTGAGACTCTCAATGACTAGTGTGGTTAGATTGAGACTGACATAGTAGAAGTATTGTTTAATACTGATGATATTAGCAATAATAACGAGTGCACAGCTTTTTTAGGTTCGTACCCAAATATTAAATTCTGTTCAATTATGGACCTAACTTCCTCCTCTTCAATTAAGAAAATATGGGACATTTATGGACATAAGTAATGGCTAGAAAAATTATTGTATTCCGTATCTAATGAGTATCTTTATAGTACGTGCACTTTGCAACAAATAATGGGGTACTAATTTATTAATGATACATCTAAAATGAAAAAGTAATCTAAAAGAAAATCAAAGATGGAGAAAGAAGGAGATAGGGTAAGATGGAGAAAGAAGGAGATAGGGTGCAAAAGTGATTAGTGGCGGTGACAGTTTATAGAGGCACTGACAAAGTCAAGAATTTCCTCAAGTGTTCAAACTTTAAAAAAAATCTAAAAAAAAATTTCGACAAACGTTGTTCGATATATTTTATGTACCTCTAAAATAACCTTATATTTTACCTATATACGCAATGTAATTTTCCGACAAAAGATGACCAATTGACCATTTTTACCGAAGTGTAGCTTCGCTCTTGTGTAGAGGTATAACGACCCGACCGGTCATTTTGAGAGAATTAGCCCCGAACCCCTATTTATTGCTCCCTCCATTTCATTTTTGGATTTTGTGACTTGTTAGGAGGATTTGTCTTTGATTTCGGGGTGAAATGAAACACATAGTCCTTAAAGGGGGAGTTTAAGTCATAGGATTTGACTGTAGTTCGAACTGTGTGAAGACGACTCTGGAATGGAGTTCTGACAGTTCCTAACTCCGTAGGGTGATTTTGGTCTTAGGAGCGTGTTCGGATGTCAAATTGGAGGTCCGTAGGTCATTTTAACGACAATTGGCGAAAGTTAGAAAATGGGATGGTTTTTGGGAAGTTTGACCGGGAGTGGACTTTTTGATATCGGGGTCGGATTCCGATTTCGGAAGTTGAAATAGGTCCGTAATGTCAATTATGACTTGTGTGCAAAATTTGAGGTCAATCAGACTTGATTTGATAGGTTTCGGCGTCAGATGTAGAAGTTTGAAGTTTTAAAGTTCATTAGGCTTGAATCGATGTGCAATTCGTATTTTTAGCGTTGTTTGATGTGATTTAAAGGCTCGACTAAGTCCGTATGATGTTTTGGGACTTGTTGGTATGTTTGGTTGAGGTCCCGGGGGCCTCGGGTGAGTTTCAGATGGTTAACGAATCATTTCTGGACTTAGAAGATTTCTGGTGCTGGGCTGGTTCTGGTGTCTTTGCACCTGCGGAGGGGTTGGCCGCAGGTGCGGTCTCGTATAAGCGAGCTTTGAGTCGCAGATGCGGGGGGCGAGGAGGAGGCCCAGTGGTCGCAGATGCGACGTGAAGACGGAGCCGCTTCTGCGGAAGGGTGATCGCAGAAGTGGAGTGAGTGAGGGTGGTGGGGAGGCCAAGGTTTCCACATAAGCGGAAAGATGATCGCAGAAGCGCATCCGCAGATGTGGATATTTGCGCGTACGTGCGGAATCTGGGAGTTTAAGTGAACTTCGCAGTTGCAGAGACTTCACCGCAGAAGCGGATTTTGTTCCGCAAAAGCAAAAAGCCTGGGCAGACTATATTAAATCAATGATTCGTGATTTTTATCATTTTGGACATTTTGAGCTCGGGATTTGGCGATTCTTGAGAGCATTTTTCGAGTGATTTCTTGAGGTAAGTCCCTTCCGTTTATATTTGATCAATAATCTTGTTTCCCCCATTGATTTTCCTACCTAGTTAGTGTGTATTTAAGGTGAAAATTGGGAGTTTGAGGTTAGAGATTTGGAGAGTTTGATTTGAAGAATTGAGTGGTGATTTGGTGTCGGATTTTGATAATTTTGGTATGGGTGAACTCGTGGTCGAGTAGGTGTTCGTATTTTGGGACTTTTACCCGATTTCGAAACGTGGACCCGGGTTGACTTTTTGGACCGAATTTTCGATTCTTTGCTAAAGTCGTAGATTTATTATTTAAATTAGTTTCTCGTAGTTGTATTCATGACATATAATTTCTTTTGGCTAGATTTGGGCCATTCAGAGTCACAAAATCGAGGAAAAGGCATCCTTATCGATTGATTGAGCGAGATTTGAGGTAAGTGACTTGTCTAACTTTGTGTGGGGGAAATCCCCTTAGGATTTGGTACTGTCGTAACACTTTGTGATATGTGAGCGTCGTGTACGCGAGGTGACGAGTGCGTACACGGGCTAATTATAAAAATTTCGATTCTTGCTGAGTTGTCTTCTTTTAAATTCCTTAATTGTGTTACCTTAGCATATGTAGTGATCATGTTTAGCCTAGTATCGTATGTCTACGTGCCTTAACCCTTACTTGAAAATTTGTGCAACATGCTTAGTTGAATTACCTGCTTCCCTTGATTTAAATTAAAACTTTAACTGTAAGTTTTCTTGCCATAAATTCATTGTTCCTTCGATTATCTGCTGCATATTTACTTTGGAACTACGTGGCGGTTCCTCGGGAGATCCCCCTATACTACATATTTACTTTGGGATCACGAGGCAGTTTCTCGAGAGATCCCCATGTACTGCATATTTACTTAGGAACTACGAGGCATTTATTCGGGAGATCCCCCCTTGTACTGCATATTTACTTTGGGACTACGAGGCGTTTACTCGGGATATCCCACTGTACTGCATATTTACTTTAGGACTACGAAGCATTTACTCCGGAGATCCCCCCTCCTGTCGTGCATATTTACATTTGGAACTACGAGGCGGTACCTCGGTAGTG